TGTTTATTGCATTTATTTCTTCTTCCATGAATACAATAGATCTTTCTTTGTTTTTAGATGTGTTATTTATACAAATAAGATGGCATTGATTTGTGTACCTGTTATTTGTGAGAATTCTTCTACTGTTTTTAATATCTTTTCCATTTGCTTTTTATCTTGAGATATGTATGTGGTATCATCCATATATGCAAATGCATTTATCTTATATTTGAATCTCTTTTCTTCATGTATTCTCATATTGTATTTTTCCATGTAATAACCTTCTGCCTGACTTTGAATTTGTGTTAATAGAGAATCATAATATATTCTCCATAATAGAGGTGATTAGTGCATCTCCTTGTTCTATCCCTAGATTAGAATTAAATGCTTCTGTCAACCCATAATAGGTTATTACTTTATTAGTTCTATTTTTTAGTAGATTATCTATTATTACTATAATTTCTTCTGGAATTTTTATTCTTTTCATACTTTTTTTTAGCATTTCTATATTTACTGAATCAAAAACTTTTGATATGTCCTGTGATAAGATCCATATTTCTTTTTTAAATTCTTTAGCTTCCTCTATACAATTGTTCAAAATATGTATAGGTCCTTATGTTGATCTCTCTGGCAAACCTGCCCAGTTATTTTCATTTAGAATTGTGTATTTTGTTAATATTGTACTGAGTCTATTATAAATTCCTTTTGTAAATATTTTTCTAGCTGTTTCTAGTAGGGTTATTGGTCTAGTATTCCATATATTCTTCTCCCAATCTTTGGGTTTAGCTATAGGGAATATATGTCCCTCTGACTATTCTTTTGGTATTTCTTTGTTTTTTAAAATCTGATTATATATATCTGTGAGAAATTGTAGTGCATTGTTATCTATATGTTTCTATAGTTCATTGGTAATTGTAGATAGACCTGCTGCCTTTTTGTTTGGTAATTTACTGATAATTCCTTCAATTTCTTCTACTGTAAATTTTTTTGTTAATGGTAGATACCATTCCTCTTGTATTTCATTGTTTTGATTATAAATTTGTTTCCACACTTGATTCTGATCTAGGTTTTCTATATTTTTTGGGGTAATCCAATGACTAAATACATTTTTAACTTCTTGTTTTATTTCTTCTGGATCTGTTAATACTTCAACTTGCTTATTGGTTGTTCTAATTAAACTGTCTGTTGATATTCTAGATCTTTCTTTATTTAGGAGACTTTGAATGACTATTTTTTTGTTGTCTTGGAAGTTTTTATTTCTTTTGATAATCTGTTCTTTAATTTTTTTATAATTTGCATCTTTTATTTCTGCATCAAATACTTTGTGTAGAGTATGGTGCATTCTTTTAACTCCTTTCAACCAATTTTTAGTCTCTTCTATTGTTTCTGTTCATGATGGGACTTCAATTTCTATATTATACTCTTCCCTAATATTTTTTATTTTTTTAACTATTTTTTCTTCCAATATGCTCTTTTGTTTTCTGTTAGTATACCACTGTCTGCCCCACTCATGAATCTTTCTTATAGATATCAGTTTTCTATATGTGATGAAGTAATTATGTAGTGCTTTTGATTCTTCATACTTCCCAGATATAAGTTTTTTCTTTTTTGGAATCATTTCATTTGCTTTTCCAATTATGACATTTCTGAAAAAATTCCATTTTTCTTCAATATTGTCATTTCCAAAGGTGATATTTTCTGCTATAGTCAATTCAATCTGGGATTTGAATTTTTTCCATTTTTTTTTCAGATGTTCCCTTGAAGTTAAATTCTATCTTATTCAGAATTTTATCAGAATCTGTTATAGATTTAGTATATTTAAGAATATTGTCTTCTATTTCTGCTATTGCACATGCATAGTTACTGTGACTTTCCAAATCTGAAGGTATAATATCTGCACAAAAAATTTGATCTGCTAAGTTATCTGATACCCATATTTGATCTATTCTGCTTTTGATTTCTTGGATACTGTTTCTC